TTATTGGAAGTAGTTTCATCAGAATTTTTTCTCTGTATTCGTTTTTTTCGCATATGATTACTTGAAAGTATTGCTGCTGTAGCTATTTCAGCTGATGAACGTTTTTTTGGTATTATTTTTTCATTTACATCAGCGCCAACCGATGATGTTAAAGGTAGAGGAGGAGGATTTGGTGTTGTATTTTCTAGTGAAATTTTTGATAATTGTTTATGACGGCATTTACGAATCTTTTTTCCATTGGATGATGAATCAAACTGTTCATAATGTGCAATTTTATTTGGTGGTTCTGATAGGGAAACTTGCTCACTACAAAAAAAGAATGAAATATTGAATAAAATATATTTTAAAACGAAAAGGAAAGCATTTTTTTTTACTCTTCAGGTAATTTATGTTTTTTTATTGATGGTAATATTGATGATATTTGTTGTGTTGATGGTTGTAATGGAAGACGTGTACGATTTTTAATAGAATTTTTGTTATGATGAACTAGTAAAGGAATTAAAGATAAATAACAAAAAAAAAAAAAAATTTATTTCTTTACTATTTTTAATAATAGTTGAATCATTAAATTTTTCATCAGTTTGTATTTCACGAATAATCGGTGTTGTTATTGAATGATTATTATTATAATCCATTGAACGTTGTGTTGTTGTTGATATTCGAACTGATGATGGTGTTGAATAAAAATTTGTTAATTGTACAGAATTTATTGATTCAGTACTTGAAGTTGATGGTAATAAGGACATATGAATAAATGCTTGATGTCCAGAATCTAAAAAAGAAAAATTTAGAAAATTATTAAAAAATAACAAGAATGAAATCGAAAAAACAAATATTTACCTAAATTTTTTGTTGTAAAAATAGGATTATCATGTGATGTTGGTGATGATAAATTTGAATGTTCATTGGAAGATATTAAATGAACTGGACGTGAAAGCATTTTAGCTGAAACTATAAATAAACAAAGAAAATAAATAAATAAATTATTTAACGATAAAAGGATTTTTATTTACGAATTTTTGTTGTCGGTTGTTGTGACCAAATATTTGATGTTGAATTTTGTTGAATAAGTAATTTCGGTGTAACAGAATTTGTTGATGATGTTGATACTGATGATGAATTTGTTATTATTGGTTGAACAAGTGTTACACGGTTTTTTGATAGAAAGGATGATTGTTTTACATTATTATGATCATTATTAGTTGATATATCATTTGTTGATGATATTAATGTTTGAATTTTTGGTGATGTTGTACCTGGTGGAATTAATGTAACTAATGATGATGATGATGATGATGTTCCTGTTGAATTTGTTTGTTGAGGATTAAATATATAAGTTTTTGATGTTGAAAATCCTCCATTTGTTGTTGTTGATGATGATGATTTATCAAGAAATTGAAATTGTAATGCTGTTGGTGGTGACGATTTACCTGCTGTTGGTGTCACTAAACGAATTGATGATGGAGTTGTAGATGTTGGTGAATGTCTTATAGATGATCCAAGACTTTTATTTAAATGATCTGGATGAGTATCAGCTAGAAAATAAAAATTCCATATAAATCTTTTATTTCTCTATATAAATAAGAAAATACATACGAAGAGATAGTTTTTTAACAATTGACACTGGACTTGCCATACTAGACATTGATATTGTAGGTAAAAGTGGCTTTGGATGCTAAATACAAAAAATTATTATAATAAATGAATTATAATCAAAAAAAAAATAAAAATTTGATGAAAATAACAAACCAATTTCAAACCGGAATAAATCAGTGTTGTTGATAATGAAGATGAACAATCAGTATCGTTCGATAATTGTTGTTGTTGATCGTTTAAGACATCACTCTGCATTGATAATCGATGTGAACATACACGGACTGTCATAAACAGCAATCAAACTAAAATTTTCATTCGAATAAATCATTTTTTTTATCGGTTGGAAAATTTATCAAATACATATATATATATATATAAAGAAAGAAAAAGCAGCAACAACCTACCCAAGGAGTGCAAGCGACGTCTTTTGGCTACATATGCGAAGAAAGAGAGGTTTTTTCTTTTTCTTTTTTTTTCTTTCTCTTTCTTTCTTTTTTTTTGTGCCTTCGTCGATCTATCAAAAGGTTTGGTTCGACTCTCGTATTTTTTTTTCTTTTCTCTTCGTTTGAGCTCGACACACCATTGAAGGCGGTAGCTATCGTCTACAATATATACACTAATGACAATCCCGAGCATCATGCGTATATGTGTTGAGACATGCCTGACCTACATGAAATTGCACGATGATTGGACGATAGGAACGATGTAGGAAGAAAAAGATTTGACAACGTATAGAGAAGAAAAAAAGGAACACAATAGCAAAATATAATATTAATGCTACTACTTTCTCAGTACGAAGTAAAACATCAAGATATTTATTACAGCAGGTAAAATTGTTAAACAATAATAATTTAACATTGAAATTTAGTTTAAATCATGATATGAAAATAATTTCTTTTTTCTATTTTTTCTATCTCAGCTGCTTTTTTTTTTAAATAATAGAAGAGAGAAAAAGAAAGGACTCCTCTTCGGTTTTGTCAAATAATTCTGCATTCAACGATCGAAAGAAAAGAGAGAAAATAAAGTGAATGCAACCAATATGTAGTTTCCTCTTTTCTTCTTATCGTCTTACGACCGTTTGCTTTTACTTGCTCGATGTTATTCGGAAGAATATAGACATACAAAAACGATAAAGTATACAAGAAAAAAAAAATAACAACGACAACAACAATGAAATAGAAGAATAATGAAATTCAAATATACAAATAGATTTATTTTCATAAATAGTTCAAATTAATCATTAATTTGTGTCTTATTTTCTTACGGTCATATGTAAACAAAACAAATCAATGTTTTTGCATCTTGATCTTACTTAGATAATCAAATCCTATTGGAAATAGAAAAGAAAAATAAAAGAAATTGTTCATACCTACATATGTTTGGAATAAATCAAATATTTCATTTATTGATTGAATACTATAAATAACATTATTGGAAGTAGGATTTTTTTTTCGTTTATAAAAATGACAAATGAATGAAAACAAGTTTTATTTTCGTAAACATTAACTAGATTTTGTACACCCATGTGGAACACATATAATTCTAGAGATGAAAATAACATAACAAACAACAACTTACGTCATGAAAAAACTTTTCTGATTGGTTATATAACAAATGTATTTGATCAACACATCTATGCACTTGTACAAGAATTTTTATTTTAGAAGCAAAAGTTTTTTTTTTTTTTGTATTATTGAACAGTTTTTGAAATAGAATTTGATGATTTTAATCATGTGAAATAATAGAATTTCATCAGTGTAGAGAAGACAAATTTGTTTTCAATTTGTTACAATGTCAACTCAATCGATGATGCGGATGCAGATATACGATTATAAAGTGAATTAAATAATGTGAGTGGTGTTGCTATGTGGAAACATCAATCCAATTGTTTAGTTTAGTTTTGTTTTGCATAGTCTATTCCATCTTTAAAAGTAACTTCTTTAAAAATTACGAAAATAAAGTTTTTTTCATTTTCTTAGTAATTTGAAATTCAGTAAAATGATTTTCTCTTTGTCGATAAGTTTTACAATTTAACTTTGATACTCGAACTTGATTGTATGGTAGTTAAAATATTCAGTTCACTTAATGTTTTCTCATTACATATATTTTATTAAAAAAATAATAAAAAAAAACTTGATTACAAGATTCATGTTAAATTTTATAAAAAAATCAAGTTGAGAACTCGATTGATTGATTGGAAGAGAGAAGTTTAAAATAAAAAAAAAATACAATGTAAGAGAGACTACTCAAAGAGAAAGTCTTTATTTGAAACGTAAGCAAAAGTAATGATATCTAAGAAAAAGATTGATATAATTGAATAGGAGTAAAATGTTCGACGCAATAAAATATAAAATGACATCATTTTATGTTTTTCTTGGATCGCTAAGTCAATTATTTTAATTTTGAAAAATATTTCGTTTGGATTTGTTTTTGATGAAAATAAAATAACAAAAAATTCTTTTGAATAATAATAATTATAATATATTTCAAACGACTTATAAATATTTAGTTGAGCTATCATAATATGACAAAAAGTTTTTCAGTTCTTCTATCAATAGTTTACGAATAATTAATTAGAATAATTAAAAATTAATTTTGATAATATTTTTTTTGATATTTTAATAGAGAAAGATGACAGATATTAATCAAACCTTGTTTTTCCATGTTTGAAATACAACAACATTAATCTATGAGATAAAAAATTAAAAAGCTAGAATATTTAATCGATGTGATAATCTTCATAGGGAAAAAGTGACTGTTGTTTGTTATTGATGAATTATTTTCCTTGAATATTTTATTTCTTAATGAAAACTAGTCAGTCTAAAATCTATTATACAGTGATTATGAGATTAACGTAGTGTAATACTAAAATTTTATTGTTTTTGTGATTGTGTTTACCTCAACTATTGTTAATATATATATTCAAGTAGTTAACTTTTATTTTATATTCCTTACTTACAACAAAATTTCTCTATTGTGCATTATTAATAGATTCGTTAGAGAAACAAGTTTAATTTAAAAAGAAAAATGAACATTTATGATAATAGTTGTAGAAATATGATGAATGGTGTTAAAAGAAAAGTTTTCAAGTGTTGGCTCTAAGAGTAAAAATAGATAATTCCAAGAACATGAATTATGCAAAACTATGTTCTAAAATACTTGTAGTGCTTCACATAATGTTTGTTGTTCTTAATTTAAAGCTTAATTATATTTCAAAAACTATTAATATAGTATAAATTAGATCAAAGAAGTGTTCTAAAAATATATTGAAGAATATACTGACGGAAGTTTGATGAGTAATCATAATAATCAAGTAATAGTCATCTTTATGACTAATTTCCGAGTTATGATGAAATGTAACATTTGTCAATTTTTTATATTTCAAATTAAAAAATATATGTAGATTATTTTAACACTTTTAAACTCATTTTATCATTAAAATCAAGTGTATGAAGAGTTTTTTCGAAATTTTCAAGTGTTACTGTTGTATTAGGTTGATCTTCAGTAAATTCTCCAATAACTTTTTCAGCTATAATTGATGCTTCATCATCATTAATTTTTCCAACCTATTATTTGAAATTCATATTTAAAAAAAAAAAAGAAAAAAAAGATTCATAAAAATTAACTTACCATCATTTTTAGAATTTCTTGTATATCTTCTTTTGATAAACGTCCATTACGATCAACATCATACATCTAAAAATAACAAAAATAAAATTCTATATTTTTTCATGAATTAATCTTACACTAAATAAAAATTTTATTTTTCGTGTTCTTTCTGAATCATCAGACGAATATTTGATGGATTCAAGATCAGTTTTTGTCGTTGTTGTTGTTGTTTGAATTGATGAACGACGGTCGTGATTATGTCCAATTCGTTTACGTTGAGCAAATGTACTCATAAAATCAACAAATTGAGGAAATGTTAATTTACCATTTGAGCCAAAATCATCAAATATAACTTTTATTAATCGTGATGCGATTGGATTTTCATCAAATTTTCGCACACGACCTAAATCATCGACATCTAAATATCCTTTATATCCTTTAGCATCACCACGAGCATCACGATCAAGTTCATAAAAGCGAGTCCATAATGAACAGATTTGTCTTTTTGAAAGACCTAAAATATCAAAAAAAAAACAAAAACAAAAATACAAATTATTATTTATCTAAATTAATTTTTAATTATGGTTTTTTTTTTTCATTTTCTGTTTCATTCACCCGTATTGAAAATGATTTCATTGACATTAATTGTGTTAGGTATTGATGTTGTTGCTCCCATCCTGTTTTCAATAACAAACGCGTTTGTTTGAAATTTAATAACTGCGATTTGTTTTTGTATTTTGTTTTGTTTTTAATGAGAAGAGAAAATGTATTCTAAATGTGAAGCATACTTTGAAAGAGAAAAGAAATAAAATTTATAATTCTTTTTTTTCAAAAGAAAAATCTTTTAACATATTGTACTATTGTTATCATCATCAGTTATTAGAGTTATGAAGTATGGCTGTATGAGAATGAGAAACAAAAAAGAGAGAAACATAGGGGAAATCAGGTTTTTTTATACAGAACAAATGAGTAACTGACGAATAAGGAAAAAGAGAATGGAAGTGGAAGAAAATTCAGCTCTGTTGAAGTGATAGAAAAGATAAATACATTTCGAGGATTTATTATTTTAGACCTGATAATAAGAAAAAAGCAAAAAATTGCCAATTTGTGTATCTGTGAGTTTCAAGTAATATAAGAAAAACACGTCTATCACATTAATGTGTATATATTAAGAAGTGTGTTGTTGTTATTTTTTTTCCTTGGCTATATCTAATATAGAGAGCTTGGGGTGGTGAGTGTATGGACGAAGAAAAGAAAAAGAAGGCCAGTAGTTATGCGTTTCAACCAAACACAACGTATAGGATAGAATACAGATGTCTATGGATGACAAACGATTGAACGGCTGTTCTTAACCTTCTTTCTTTTTTTTTTTCTCTTCTCCCATTTTTTTCTTCGTTCCTATTGAACACATAGACATGAGAAAAAAGAAAATGATGTGATAAAGAAAAATGAGCACTTACTCGCCATCATGTAGTCTGATCACAGCAGACAGTTACCCATACACATCGCCGAAAAAAATTTCAAGATGGATGTAATCAATCGTGTAATAACATATAATAAATGTAAGAGAAATCCAAATAATGACAGACATCATCTCTTGTTTCCTAGTTCTGTCTTAATCATAATAAAAACATTACAGGAAATGTTGTCAACGCTACCTTGTAACAATATTTTGCATGATTTGCGTTGTCCTTCGTGACTTAATAAGCATCGAGTGCAACAAATGAAGAGAAAAAAATGATTCTTTTTCTCGGAAATTTTTTGTTCTCTAACAATAGTTGAATATACAGAATGAATCATAGATAGTACTAAGATAGGAAGTTGAATTATTTCCGTTCCCGTTCATTCCAATGAGTTTACTTTTTATTCAGTGCGATAGAAATTTATTGAATACTTGTTTTTTCATATAGTTACTGTAAACAAATACTGCTATTAACTACTATTGTTGATTTTACAAAAGAAACTTTACCTGTTGTCAAGAAAGAAAAATATATGTGAAGCGCTCCAAGGTAATTTTCAATTGTCACCTCAGAAAATAAAAAGAAATTAAAACAAACTTTATGAATAATATTATACTGACAACATATAGAATAAATTTTCAGCACTTGCTAGTTTTAATGTTAAAATTCGTATCCGATAACTAACAACACACAATTGAAGCTTTTTACGCATTGAATCTCCAACTTCCTTGCAAAAACTAGTGTTCCATACTTGAAAATTCGAAGTATTGCACAACCATTGACTTTTAAACAAAGTATTCCTGATGATTTTCGCTATATGCATCATTGTAATATTATTCATAAAGTTTGTTTTGATTTCTTCTTTTTATTCTCGTAGATGACAACTGAAAAATATCTTGGAGTTTCACACATGTATTTGTCTCTGTTGATAACAGGTAAAATTCCTTTGGTAAGATCAACAATAGTACTTAATATTAGTATTTGTTTATGTTATTTGTATAAAAAAGAAGAACTGTAAATAAACTTCTATCGCACTAATCAAAAATTTCATTCGATTTGAATGAACCGAAGTGGAGATATTTCAATTTTTTATCGTAGTGTTATCTATAAGTCACTTTGTCTATAACCAATATGAGTTTGGTAATATTACAAAATCATGTTTATAAATATGTTAGAATAAAAATTTCCTTTTTTATTCTTAATTTTAAAAAATCAAGGCAACTTTACTAACTAATCTTGATAATAGATTGCATATAGTCGATATTAGTCAACATTCTATTGTTAAGATATTGTCGAAGATTTGTCAACATGTAGATAATAATAATAAAACGTAGAATAATGATATTGCCAATATGAGAGATATAGTAAGATTTAGAATACAATAGAAATTTCTTTTCTTTATATAATACTTCTAAACAACCTGAAGATTTTTATCATGAATAAATAATACTATTTAAAGAAATCTCTTTATCACATTTTCCTGTTTGCATAATAAATCAAATTATAAAGCGAACGTCGTCATCGACATATAGGAAAATCCAAAACTACTTGCGAACGATAATCATAATAAGCTCATCGATCACAAAATGAATAACAATATGATTTTATTAAATAAAATTTCTTACATATATTTATCATCACTGAATAGATGAACACAAATCTTCATACATAATCCATAATCAACGATGTCGAAAACTATTTTCGAAAAAGAAATAAAGAAGTATAAGAATATAAACATGCAGTTAAAATAATACAAATATTTATATTTATCATTCACGATTTATTTCTAAATAAAATCTTGGTTTTTGAAATAGTTGATATTATTGACATCAAGTAATAAAAAAAAGCTATGATACGATATAAGATGATTCATTTCATGAAGTTTGAGATATTCAATAAAATACTTAGTATCACAATAAAAAATATTAATCATAAAGTGTAACTTATGAATATTATGTCAATCATTTTGAAAAGATTTATAAGATATTGAACATCTAATCTTGAAGAATGATATAATTGGACATAAGAACAATTTATTCATAGGTATAGTTAAGAGTAATTTTTTCTTTTTATGATCATTTAGATGAATATCAAATTACAAATCGTGCTAATCTCATTGCTATTAAAGTTTGTGAAATAATTTTATTCTTCATTAATGATCGTAATCAGATATTATTTTCAAAAGAATAATTAATCATTTATAAGATTATTAGAAGAAATAATACTAAATTATTACTTCAATTCATCAATATATATATATATATATATATATCTTTATTAGATTTTCATTTTTTAAAAATAAACAAATTGGAATATGTCAACCAAACTATTAAGGCAATGGAGAGTGAATGATGAAAAAATACTTGAAATTTTTTATAGTTTTTATTAAAATTATTTTTTTTTAATTAAAATCAAATTCAGAATAATCTAAGCAAGTGACTTAATAACCGATAGTATATTCACTATGTTTGATAGGAAATTTTATAGAAAAAACTTCGATACAGAAATAAATATACAATTTAAATCTGTATCAAAATTTATTGATACCCGTCTACTTGAATTAGAACTAGAAAAAACGATAAAAAAATAATGAAAAGCATTTTTTATATAGTCCCGATTAATGAGAATAGGTTTTTTTTTCATATTTGTCAGTAGATAAGAATCTGATATTATAGGTCAATATTAGCCGAGGCCATTAACATTGATAAATAGAAAAGAATAGGTGAATAATAAAAAAATCAGAAGATAATCGTATCTATTTGTCTAAAACCGCTGAATTAGCATAAAATTATGCTTCTACACATCCATATTATTGTGATAGATGAAAGAAATAAATAACTATTGATAAAAGTACGAAAGGTAAGTGATACCTGATCAATCGATGATCAATATTTTGACAATATCATTTAATACTGAGAATAATAGTCAGAAGGATGGCATTGAATTCGACTCGAAAATACGATCAAGAAAAAAATCAGCTACAACAAAATGTAATGACAATTATTGAAATATGATCGATTTTTTGTAGCTGTGAAAAGACTATTTCGAGTTCTGCAACTTTTAAATATTGTCGAAAGAAAAACTTGTTTTTGAATTTATAACGTTCTTCATTAAATATACAATTTTTCTTTCTATGCTATTTCTCATTCAAATGAAATCAAAATTAGTCAGCTCGTTTAAAAAAAAAAGCATTATTAATGCAATCTTGTTTGACGTCAATCAGTATCTAAATATTTTGTGACGTCAATTATTAAAAGAAAACATTTATAGTACACTGCACTAAATGAGGAACTCGTTTAATATACATATACAAATATCGAATATTTAATTTTTATTTTTCAGACTGAGTCATTGGTTTCTTTAGTGATGGTGACATGACATACCTATACTTATGCTTCGTGATATAATAAAATAACACTACCAAATGTTATATAGATGCATCGTTGGAGTATAAAAAGAAGGGTTAACGTCATTAAATCTGCGCGATATAAAAATTTATTTTTTTTCTTTCATTCTCCAAAATCCACTGAAGAACACGCGTTTTGTCTTTTACATCAGAACACTTTCTTTCTTCTGTCATGAATACTGAATGTAAGTTATTTTTCTGACGTGTTTGCACCCCATACCCTCTTCCTTATAACTTCCTTTTTTTTTCTATCAGATAAATTTATACCTAAAATAGCAGATGAACATCGATGTTGTATATTGCCACGTATTCATCCTCATATTCATTCTGTAATTAATTCAAATAATTCTATGGATTATGTTCCAAACAACGAACAACAAGAATACAAACAAAAACAAAAAGTAGAAGCATATGTTTTTGCTAAATTAGAAGAATATTCTCGAGGAAAATCTACAAGTCTATTTCATTTAACATCATTTTCTCATGTGCGTCGACGTTTAAAACGTGATGTTAAATATTTATCAAAACAATTTGAACCATATGATGTATCTGAAGGAAAAATTCTTCAATGGATTGATGAAACACTTGAAAGAATTCATTCACATTTTCTACATTTACGATCATTCATTGATTCTCAAAATGAATTAAAACAATTATTTTTAACAGATGAACTTTTTTCATCAAATAATAATCATAATCAATGGCGGAAATTACAAATCAAACGAGCTAAAATTTTATTTCCTGATACGAATAGTAATGAAAACGAACTTTTATTAATATATCAAAAATATATTATTGAAAATTTAACACCAAAAAAATTAGAAAATGATTGTCTTCCATTAAAAAATAAAGAGAAAATTGATTTAGATTTTGAATATAATAAAGCAGAAACTATCGGACGTGAATATTTAAAAAATATTTTTGATAATTATAAAAAACGACAATATCCAAATTTAAATTTAATTAAAGAAATAATTAATCTTGGAATGGAACAAATGAAAAAAAGACCAAAAACAAATCAATTGAATAAAGCATCAACACCATTAAATATTCTTCCGAAAGCATTATTTATTATTCAAAGTAAAAATGCTTATTCTATGAGTTTAAAAAATTTAGCTGATGATTTTATGGTAAATTAAATTAAATTTTAATTTTCTTTTGTTTTTTTTTTTGATAATTTTAGAATTATTTTTATCGAATATCTTTTTTTTAGTTCTTACGTTTTGGTCGTTCATTAGACAATCAAAGTAATAAAAAAGATTCAGTTACCGAACGATTTACATCGTTAATTCATATGTTTTTAAATACAATTTCTATTCTTATACATTCGATAAAATCGGATACATCTGAAATATCATTATCTTTATTTTCTCAATTTGATTCTGATTTATCATCTGAAAATATTCTTTCACCAATTATTCATATTGATCAATGGACATGGTTAATAGAGAAATGGAAAACTGCTCTACAAACATTTCCAATTAATTTAACAAAACATGGTGTATTTGGTCGTCTTGTTCGAACGACAATTGGTGTTGGGGTTGCTCGATTATATGGTTTTGCTGAAAATAATGAACATGATGAATTGGATAAAAAATTTTTTCAAGCATTACAAATGGGTTTTTATTATGGTGTTGCTTATGCACTTGTTGATGGACTACAAGATAATCAAAGTGAACAACAACAACAACATATTGATATTGATAAATGGTTGATCGAAATGGAACGTATTTTATGTGGTCATAAACTTGATCAAAAATCTCTTCCTCAATTACCTATAACTTCCCTTTTACTTGAAACATTTCATAGTCTTGTACAATTAACATCTATAAATTCTATAGCTGAACAAACATTTACTGATCTTGCTTTACTTCTTCGTTCACAACGATCTGATAAGAAAAATCTGGAACGATTACATAATAATAATACTGATATCTATATTGGTCCATTATTGAAATCTCATTTTACTTATACAGCAACTGCTTTTATGGGTGGTGCACGAATGGTGCATGATCGTCAACGTTTATGGACAATGCCATTTTTAGGACAATTAACAGATGATTGTCGTGATTTTGATGAAGATCGTCGAGAGAAATCTATAACACCTGTTACTTACTTTGCTGAACATAATGATTCAATATTAAATCCATTTTTTGTTTTCTTATTTATTTGTGAAGATTTGTATATACAAAGTCAACGAGACAAAGATACTGGCGCATTTTTAGGACGTCGAATCATAAGAACATTACGATCATTACAAAATGATTTAAATGAATTTTTAACAATATTTACTGCTAATTCATATCCAGATCTGTATAAATATGCTCTTTCATTAGTAAATCTATTTGATCGTGTTAGTGATCCAGAAAAAGCAATATTTCATTTTATAAATAAATTTGCCATTCATTATTCATTTAATCATCGAAAACTTGAAACATTTGCATATGATCATTTATCTTTAATTGAAAAACAAATAACAATAAAAATCAATGAACATGATCCACTTATTCGTGGTATTAATCATAGTTTAAAAGCTGGTGGAAAACGTCTTCGACCATTAATGCTTCTTATGGTTGCACAAATTTATAATATTGATATTGAACGTGTAATACCTCTTGCACGTGCTATTGAATATCTTCATACAAGTAGTTTAATATTTGATGATTTACCAGCACAAGATAATGCACCATTAAGACGAGGGCAACCAACACTTCATATGCCTATTGAAAGTGATAATAATGAAATACCACCATCATTATCTGAAGGACGAGCTCAATTAGCTGCTGTTAATTTAATTGCACATGCAATTCGATTAGTAACTGTTGATCTTAGTCAACAAGGTTTTTCATATGAAAGTATTAATCGTGTTACTGCTGAGTTATCACAATCAATGGATGAACTTTGCCATGGACAATTTCTTGATTTACAAGCAGCAAGAATGAAAAAATCATTAACTATTCATGACCTTGATCATATTGCTGAATTAAAAACGGGTAAAGCTATTGAAGTTGTTCTTATTTGTCCAGTTATACTTGCTGAACAAGATAAATCTCTAAATATAACATTAGAACGTCTCCGTGAACTTGGTAAATTAATGGGAATTTTATTTCAGATGAAAGATGATTTACTTGATGTTGAAGGAAATGTAAATGAAATTGGAAAATTAACAAATATTGATGTACAAAATCAAACAATTACTTATGTTAGTTTATTAGGTATTGAAAAAACTCGAAAACGTATTGATACAGAAAGAAAACAAGCCTCGCTTATTCTTGATAGTTTATGGCCACAAGCAGGAACTATTCGTGATGTTATTAGACATATTTGTGAACGAAAAAAATAATATGTCAGATGAATTATTTTTTTTGCTTTTTAAAGTTTATTTATTAATTATGAGAACGTTTTTGTTTTTACAAGTTTATTTATAAATATAAATGAGTCAAGTATTGACAAAATTTATAAAGAGTAATCGAAGTTTTATCTTCAAATGTACAATGACATGAATTATCCATGACTTTATCTCAATATTATCATATTGGCATCTATGGAATAGCAATAACTAGAGTATACAAATTCTATCGCTTACGCGATAGAGATCAATAATATGCATAAAAGTATATCTAGACCATCTATTCGTCAAAAATTGTAAGGAAACATCATTGATCATGAAGGTTAAAATGGATTATATACTCTATGCTAATACTTAATACTTTAACACAGAAGATAATCTAACATTTATTGATTAAGCAACTCATTTTAATAATCGAAGATAGAAATTCTACAAATTTTAAAACGCGTTCGTTTGCTAGTCTTCGAAATCAAAATACTATATCTCCTGTCAGTATTATCAGTACGTCAGTTGTTAGAAAACTAGTTGTTTTTTTTTCACCTTCGGTCTACCGAAAATTGTGAGAATGAATGCAAAACAATTAACATTCTGCATTGAATATATGTTATGATCAAGTATAACAAGAAGAATATCAACACATAGAAAAAAAATCAACTGTACAAAAACTCTAATTCGAATAAATAATATCATTGTTCGATTAGTTGCTTAAATGTAACCATTTGGCAACGTTATATCAATATTCTCTAGTGTATATCTTGTCGTCCTTGAAATTTCTTTCATAATAACTATATTTGATTGATCCATATGAACATGCTTTGCGCAATTCTCTTACTATTAATAAACTTGCTCATATATTTTGTCCCATCACAAAGATAGCAAATACTAATTTCATCTTCTTTGCCGTCTTTAAAGTTTCCTCTACACTGATACACATTTGTTTACGTAAACACACTGCACTCAGTTTTATTCTCATGGATCCAATTATCGACAAAGTTTCTCCAATCAGCACAATAATAAGTACCATTTCTCTCTCTCTCTCTCTCTAGTGCTGTTTTTGTAGAATCTTTCATATTGGTCCTCATTTGATCACGTAAACAACATTGTTGATTTCTTTTATAATAGCATCGTTCGCCTATATATTTTCTTCCGTCAGCAAAATACGGCACTTCTACATGATATTCACCGTTTCACTAAATGGTTGTACACAACATGCATAGTTGATCTAATTGGCCGCAGAAAAGAAAACAAGACTGCACTCGATAAAAGCTCTGATATCTGATTGAGATGGCAAAAAAGATGTCAACAAAATATCGAATTAACTCAAAGATGTCATTTTTTTTGTACATTCCAATTGTAGTGCAGCATCGGCAGACAGTTAACAAATGTGTCGTTGTCAGTCTTGTTTTTATTCCCATCCACATTCTAGCAGTTGAACACTCTAACATACACTTTGAGTGTCTCATCTATCACTGACGGCATACGCTAGAGTGTAGAATCTGATTTAAAAATTCATGAGGTTTTCGAACCATATGAATTTTGTTCACTTTTTTTTTCTACTAAGAAATGAGTTGTCAAACTTGAAGTTACTATGCTACATGAATGGAAAACTCACTTCATAATCATCATGATCAGTAGTTTGTCATTTTAAGTCGTGACTAGACGATCATGAAAAGAGTTTCTTTGTGATGCTACATAATAACTTTGCTTTTAATGAATCACTTTGTAGCAATGAAAAATACTAAACGAAATCCATATGGTTCGAAAAAGGTCATGAACTCGAACCATTTAAGGAAATCCTTTTGAGTTGTGACATAGAACTATAGCATGAATATTATTATTCTACGTAAGAGTCGGTTTGATGTATATTTTGTATAGAACGATTCATTAATTTATTTTATTCGTATTGGTTCTGATTCTTCTCTCATCGACTCGAGATGTTTTCTAATAGTATTTCATTTGCAATTTTTCATCATTAATTTAAAATATATATAATAAGTCTGAAAGATTAGATGAGTTTTTTGTTTATTTGGACTGCTTATAGCTTTTGATACAATAAACATATACATAGCAAGAAGGATAAACAAAAGAGCAATGAAGTGAAATCAGAATTAGAAATAAATTTGCGTGAAAGTTAAAAATGAACATGAAAGATAAAAACAAAAAAAAAGGAAAGTTTGGATGATCAATAGAAATATTCCACTGTTCAGAATGATAGATAGAGAAAGAGTAAGAAGAAAGATTATGAAGCTGATGACGGTGGTGGTTGTTGTTGTTGAGTAGTTAAATTCGTTTGTTTAACAATATTAAGTGCTTGAATTATTGCTTGTGGATCTTTTCGTGCTTTAGTTGCACAATTTTCTAATATGTCAGCTGCTTCAAATTTTCCTTGACGTCGATATAATAAACTAAGATTTTTTAATGTTGTTGTTACTGTTGGTTGATCAGTTAAAATTGTTTTATACCATCCGCCTTGTGCATCATAATTTCCTCCTGTTGTTCCACTTTTTGATTGTTGAGATTTTTGAGTTTCTTGTTGTTGTTGTTGTTGTATGGCAGAAGTTTTATTTGAAAATTCTTTTTCTTGTGCTCGTGTTAAAACATCTTTATAGATTTGTTCAGCTTCTTTGTATTTTTGTTGTTTAAGATAAGCTGATGCAAGATTATTTTTTGTTTTAGCTACATTTGGATCATCTATACCTAAAGTTTTTGTATATATTTCAATAGCACGTTTATAATATGATTCAACTTCATCAAATTTTCCTTGATTTTGACAAAGTAATGCTAAATTATTAAGTTGTTTAGCAACATCGGGATGTGATGATCCAAGACATTTTTCACGAATTTCAAGAGCACGTTTACATAAACCTTCGGCGTCTTTAAATTTATTTCGTTTACCTAAATTGAAATAAATAATTATTTATCAATAGAATAAATTTGATGACATACCATAAAGAACAGCTAGATTATTTAATGTAGCTGCTACAGCTGGATGATCAAGTCCAAGTGTTTTTTCACGAATAGCTAGTGCATCATTAAGTAAAACACCAGCTTCTTTAAATTTTGATTGATCACGATAAACAAGAGCAAGAATATTGAGCATTGTGGCAACATCCGGATCTATAGAAATATTTTAAAAATTAAACTTTGTCGATAAGATCTCTATGAGATTTAAATATAATATATAAATATATACTGGCATTGATTTCATTGTAAATTAGTCTTTCGATGATGTAAATCATTGTATTGCTTGATAAACAATTATTTCAATAAGTCAATACTGCATTATGATTTTCTACTGATATTATGATATATATGAGAGAATTCACTTAGAAATACAAAAAGTTTCATTTCTTCTCAATAATGTTGTTTTTAGCTTAACATAAAATACAAATGTTTTAAGATTTTCTTTTTTACATGGTAAAGATTTTCAATAATGAGTTAGCTCTTTTGTTGGAATTGTTACATGGTTATGTTAAGGAGAAGAGAACGACTTTCATAATTCTTTTTTACCGTCTATCTGTAGTCAAAATTTTCAATCCGATTGATTTCACGTTGCTTAGAGGCTAACAAAGATACACATACAGAAAAAAAAAAAGGAAAGAAATGTATTTTATTAATAAATTATTGTAAAATCAAGATGAAACTTACGTTGATGGCCCGATGTTTTTTCTAAATCTTCAAGTGCTTGTCGACATAATGGTACAGCAACTTCATATCGACCTTGAGATGCATATTGAATAACTAAATTATGTAAAGTTTTTAATCTAGCTGGTATTTCATAACCAGTTGCTGACATAAATGAACCACTAGCTGATTGTGATGGTGACATCGTTAAATCAGCATAAGAATCAAATCGTTTTGATTGATTTGTTCCAGTTGTCATATCTTGTTGATCCATATAAATATCATCATCATTTGGAAATAAATCATTAACAAGATCTGTAGTTTGTCCAGAAGATATATTTGTTGATGATGGATTATTATTTGTTAATGAATTATTATCATTTAGATCATATTGTTTAACATCTTTAAGAAATTTTAAATGTTCTATTTCAACTGAGTAAGCAGCATTAGATTGTTCACATTCGTGTAATTTTTTTTGTGCTGATGCTAATTCATCTCTTAACCAAGCATTTTCTTGACATAGACGTTTAACTTGTGTACGTAATTTTTGTTTTTCAGCTTCAAGATTTTGAAGATGATTTCCTAATTGCATCATTACTTGAGCTTCACCGATACCTTGTAATATAAAATTACAATTATTTTATTCGTTTTCTTTTTCTCCAAAAATAACTTTACCTAATTCAATCATATCCATAGATTTTCTTAATAAACCAGCTTTTTCTTCGAGTTTATTTGTATCTATTTGCAATGAAGTATTCATTGAATCAATAACATTTTCAAGCATTTTTCCATGTTCATTCTTTAATGCATCAAGTCCTTGAATAACAGATTTGGTTGACTGAAGAATATCGTCTTGACTCATATTTGGCTAATAGAAATAACAGGAATGATTTTATTTACATGTAATTCTAAAAAAAAACAACATACATATTTTTTATTCATCTACGTGTTTTCTATGAACGTTGCAAACAAAAATTTCATTTGTATTTTGTATTCAAATTTGATGATGAACTCATATAAGCAACGGCATTTTATAAAACTTATTATTAATCAACTGATAGTGAAAAAAAAACAAGTATTCTCATATTATTTAAATAGATTATTAAGTATGATTGGCTAACGAATTTATTTTGTAGAATATTAAAAGAAAAGGAAAAAAAGGTGGACGTAACAGTAGTCAAATTTTTATTTATATATCTGAAGTTTGTGGGTTGATTACTATGTGACTCTTTTTTTTTCTTTTTCTGTTATGGTCTCGATACTGTCTACTCTATGTAAAAGTAAATGAAAATTGACCTAGGTAAAGAACAAAGAGAAAAAAACGAGAGAGTAAAGTTACATTACAATGATGATTATTTAAACTATGTAGGAAATGAAAGGACCTAAATAGATCATGCATTTCATTTTAAATTAGAAAAAAAAAACATATTGCTAATCAACTGTAAAATAAGGATAGCATTAGATCATCAAAGATTAATTATCTTTGATTAACATGGATAAAAATATATTGAAATAATTTCAAAGTTTGTTCTACAATCGGTTATATTCTTGCTTGAACATAATGTATCATTACACTAACTGATTCATTGTATTTTTAAGTGAATTATTTATTGTATACATTCGTAAAAAACAAAAAAAAAACTATTAAGATACATTCCAAAGTTATTTGAGCGAAAGAAAAAAAATGTAAGTAAATATTATAGAGAAGTGATGAGTCATATAGTAAAACTGTTTGCTTGACAATCAAAATACAAGCAAACACGCACGCACACCGAGAGAATTTTTTCAATGGTCGATTGTTAAAGCCAGTATATGCACATATTTGATAAATATATCTATCTGATGAACTATAGGAACCTATTTAAATATGATTTAGTTTTATATCTCATTTGTAATTTGAAGTATATTTGAAATTCTTTTCACGGCACATTAGAAAGTATTGACTCAATAGATGGCGTCAGACATTTGCATATATTATGAAAACTTTTCGTCGATCATTCAAATATATCATGTTATAGAATGCTTTGAAAGAGTCACTCCTATCTGAGTTCTCTCTCAATGGACAGAAAGTATGCGCATTAATATGCATGAACATAGTATGGAAATTAACATACTATTATTTGACATCTTGTAGTATTGTCAACTGCAACAAAAGTAACGGTGTGGGAGAATGTATACCTCATTAATCAAAAGTTTTTCGTTATTGTCAGCTAAAACAGGTAATAAGTTTTTTAAAATTTTGTATGATCTCTGAGAGAAAGTTTTTGGTACTCTTCTTACATCCTTCAATCTTCGAATACTCCTGCGGCCACTGAATCCTGTAGTGATTCTATGCTAAATAAAATAAAGATTTTTGCATGCCGACATTACATGCAATCTTATATTTATTATATGCGCTGTTAATTTCTAATAGTTCCCTGATGTTGTCAAGCACGACTACTTTAAATGTTTGTTCTAAACAAATAATAATTTCTATTATACACAATCATTAGATTAGTTCTGAGTTAAAATATCGTTGAAAGAGATCGTATGACGCGATCAAAGTATGGTGACAGAATATTGGGAAACTTTGACTCATCGCTTTTGTGGACTAAATTTACAAGATGAATAGTCGCTCACCGATTTGTTGCTACTTCCATTAATGTTAGGTATTTTTGCGGTTGTCATTACTTTGTATCAATAAAATGTTGCAGTTTAACAGCGTCTTGAAGACCAGCAACTAGCTTGTGGACAATGCGAACACGATTTGACGGTGCCACATGAACAATGTCAAAACAATCTTACTATGCTTACGCTTCAACAAGAACAAGATCTGAATATGTCTCTTGAGCAACGTGAACACTTCTTAAATAGCAGTTTATTTTCTTACTTAGATCTGTTGAACACAATGTTTAGTCCTATAGATCTCACTAATACTCAATTTGATAAAAGTAAGCTAAATAATGCTGACATGTCGTATACTATCATTATACAGACTAGAGACCGAAAACGAGTCGAGTACTCGGCAAATCGAATCGACTCGACTCGGCTCGGTTCGAGTCAAGTTGACTTTTTTTGACTCATTTCGGTCTCTGTTATGAATGATCAGTTATATATATATATATATCTAGATCCCACTTTTAACAGATTTTCATTCGCTATAAAATTCACTTTTATATCTTTTAGAGTTTAAACTGTACTCCGTAGCAAAATATTTTTCCTCAGTCTATATTTAGAGATTTTCTCGAATCATGAAAACAGACGATACCTTAGTCTTAGCTCTATAAAGCTCATATTGACATTGAAAACATGAAATTAGTCACATATATGTATTAGAGATAATGAATCGCAGAAAAACAATAAAAATAAAAAATTGATGTCTTCAATTCGAATCAAAATTGTAGAAGAAAACGATGAACTAACATACCAAAAGTATTGAATATGAAGAAAGAAGTGAATTGTTCATAGGTGAAATGAACATGTAATTGTCTTTGTAATTTGATCGAAAGTTGTTTCCAATCACAATCCGAAATATATATCTGGAATAATCAATTTCTCGTCATTCAAATATATTGTATTTAAAATAAAATTTTATCAAAACACAAGTCAGAATTTGAATCTGATTTATTTATAAAAAGTGACGAAAAGTAATCTTGACTACAAAAATGAAAAAAGTAGCAAAAAAAAATGACTTCGATTGGCTAGTACATTACCATCCAACATTTATTTTTAATGAAAATGATAAAAATGTTAGTCGACATTCATGGATTTATTCTGTCCGGATTCTTGTTTTTCTTGATTGATTGGACAAAATTATTTTTAATCCTAAAAGTCACATAAGATTCTTTTGACAAGAAAGAATAAAAGATTCTTGCCTGATCTTCAAGATACATCGCTCGATGTCTTTGTGTACATATGTATATCAACGTCTATACATGATTTATTCATTTTTAAATAAGAACAGTTAGTAGTTATTGTGCTCACTTAAACAAACAAAAGGTATTCTTTTCGAATAACGTATGAGTTGCATGTCAACATCAGATAAGTGAAAATATTTAATAGTAAAGATGCATTTATTGACATATATTAACGAGTTAAAAGATAGTTGATTTTAAAGTTTTCAAATACAACTTTATCAAAGTAATGGCTTAATGATATACCAATTATTATCGATTCCGGGTGATACATATGAAGAAGACGAATTATATTAATAGATATATATATATTATTGATGTAAATAAAATATTTTAATCATCTCTTCTTAATTTTCATCTAAATAAAATAACCCATGTGATGAAAACCGCGGTTTTACCAGTCCGATTACCAGATCCCATTGCTACACTTTACCGCAGTAAACCACCGGTTTTGACGAGTACCGCGGTTTACCGCTAAAATGAACCGGTTAACCGGTTCGCCGATGATCATTGACATTCGGTTGCTCCAAATCATCGATTTTGCTATTTTAAATGTTTTTTTTCTTGCATCTTTCCATGTCATAAAAATGCTCGAAAAAACCGCCGGTTTTACCGATCCAATTACCGACTTCTGTTACTGCAATTTATCGCGGTAAACCGCCGGTTTCGATAAATACCGTGGTTTACCGCTAAAAACTATCCGGTATTAACGATATGAGAACGGATACGTCAGATATAATGGCCGCGCTTTGCATTTCAATTTTCATTTACTTAATATGTTGTATTAAAAAACAAAATATACCACAAGATGCAGCGTGAAAAGCTCTACAATTTACACAAGATCGCTTTTTTATAGCTGCACTTTTTGCTTTCAAAGTGGTCAAAATTTCGAGTGATCAAATTTTAACTGTGCGAGAATGATGTTTTTTCTGGCACAAAATAGATTTGTCTGTTTTTTCTTCATCTTTTTTTCACGTAATATCTTTCATTTAAAAGAAAAACAAAATACACTATAAGATGTAGCGTGAAAAGCTCTACAATTTATACAGACCAACTTTTTTTTATGGATGCACTTTTGATTTTCAAAAGGGACGAAATTTCGAGCGATACAATTTCAACCGTGTGAAAACGATATTTTGTTTTGTACAAGATGAATTCATTTCTTCTTCTTCTTCTTCTAAACGAATGATTTTTCATTGATTTTTTTCGTGCACAAAATGATCAAATTGATCACATGGTCTCTAAAGAAAATGATCAAATACTAAATTTTTCTTAAGCTAGACATTCCCTATTACTAAGAAAATTTAAGAATAAAATTGAAAAAAATTCAATACTTTGAATTTATAATGATGTTTACATGCTAGTCATTAGATAATAATCTTCCGAATTATTTAGAGAGACGAAAAATTAATGACATGAGTTAAGTTCGTATGGAAGTACGTTACAGAAACGTAATCACCAATGAAAAGGTCGAAAGAAAAACATTTTAATTAATGTAGATCCAGAACATGATTTAGTTGATTCTTTCAGTAGTTTGATTGTTGCTTTTTTTTGAAAACAATATAATATACATCATGTTGATTTTACTTTGCTTATCATGTTTAGAATAATGTTTAAAATATTGTATGATCAGATAAATCTAAATTATCGATCGTTTTTCTCACGAATTTTTTCATACTTTTATTTTTTTAGTTTCCTGATGTAGTCAACAAGAGGAATCTTATTCCATTGTTTAACGAAGATAACTTCCCGCCGTTACTTTATTCCTGCACTCATCATAATCAAAGTTACTTTTACTTAAACTATTCGAATCGAATCTTGTTCCATTTCGATATTGTAACTGATATGGCATATATGTTAGCTGTATTGTTGTCTAATTTTTATGCATAAGTTATTAAACTTTCACGATATGACAAAGCAATGCTGGAAATATTAGATTATTTTATACGTTATGAAAATGATACCAACATACAAACCAAAAATTCTTTTTTCAAAAAAATTACTATAGCAGTTCAAAATGGAATTGTTGAAATGACAAAAAAATGGTCT